ATACGCTAACCTTACACCATCGCACCCGCGTATTTGCGTATACAGCTAAAAATTCGCACTTTCACCTCGTGCAACCGGGGCTCTACAAGTGTTCAAAATGGCCTCCTCCTGCGTGAACGCAAGGTAGGTATCTATGCCTCACGGCCTCGTGACGCACACAACTTTGCTGAGTTGTACTCCCTTTATTTCTCCCTCCACGCTTTAAGTTCGCATAAGACGGCCATCACGGTCCTCGACTTCGGTAGCGTAAACATTCTTTCATTAACTTCCATCTCCAAAAGCGTTGGGAGACCCTGAGTTATGAAATTCAGAAACTGAACGCCTCTTAAACGTTCGGGTAACAAATGAGGACCGAGGAATTCATCCATAATGCCAATCGACACATTTACAGAGAATCACTCTTGGTGAGCGACACTTTGTGCTGCATGCGAATTTCCTCGGCCATCACATGCAAAATGTGCACATTAATTCTTGTAAAACTCGCTTCATCTTACCAAAGAACGAAGTTCCTGATTTTCTTTGCATTTGCGCAGGAAATGCCTAGAGAATCGAAGACGATGTGATAAGTCCCTACTGCGCCAATGCTGCACCCGCACAACGGAAAAGTCGTTATCTCCCCGCATCAATCGTTCGCCAGACGACGGACTGTGGCTTTGACCTCACGCGCTTTCTGCCTTGTTCTCGCCTCCGGGGCTTCTCGAATAGTTAGCAATTGAGTTTTCCACAGAAGTGGCGGGCCCCCTAGCATGAGATCAAGCCGACAGCCCATGTTACTCGATCACAACTGTATAGTCCAAAGTTTAACATTAATTATTTACAAAACTAAACGACGAAGAATATCCTATTTTAGAATATTTAATCTCTACATTACATATGGGATACTTGCCAGTACATTAGCAACGAGGATAGAATGATCCTGTATACACGTTCGAGACAATCTCACAACAGCACTAAACCCAAAAACAGCCACAAAAGTTGCCCATCTGACTCAGTTTTCGTCATATCGCACTTACTGCGAAACTAAATACATTACGTCGATAACAACGTATCGTTTTTGGTGAAACGGTAGTAGAATGCACGTTTATTACAAGACGGAGGTCGTCAACAATCTATGATATTGTATTTTCTACTAATGATATGAAATATACTTCACTCCCGTAAAGAAGTTGAACTTCGGTTGATTGATCAGCCTTACTCAGTGCACATGAAGACACACTCAACCACATTAAGACGCACGCACAACTTACGTTATGTAAATTGAAAACTAATTTCATAACTACTACTGTTTGATCACTTAAAACATCGCCAAAATGATCAATAAAATGCTCTTAATATTATTTTAAAATGCCCTAAAGTCAACGAAAAATAAAGTAAAAGACGTGACCACAATCATCTCGCATGAACATCTTAAGCTGTTTGATATGATACTTATAAAATCGAGGTTTCTCCCATGTATTTAAGTGAACTTAGCTTGCAAACTATTTGTTTATATTGTTATTTATCTCAGCCTTTAGTTTCCTCGAAATCGGTCTAACCGACAATAGGGCTGATTAGCTTTACTGAAACCTAATATTACTTACTCACAACGGCTGACATTGCAATTTCTGTGCAAATAAATCGATAAGAATACTCAGAAATTTTGTGGAGAACATTTGTTCCATCTCGTAAATATTATTTGAAGCAAGTACCATTAAAATGATATTAAAATAAATGAAAGCAGTGAAATATGCAATAAAAATGACCCAGAAGGTAAAAGAATTACTGAATTATGGAAAAGAATTATTAGTTGAACTCGATGGAAAATGCAAGAGAAAAGGATTTATAAAAGTGGATTACTTCATTTCGTCGTAACACGGAATTAAGGTCTATACTAAACGGCATTGTTCTAAAGTGAAAATAAAAACATGACATTTCATTAAAATACGATCCCAATTCATAACATAGGTATGTCATCTTTGAGCTTAATAATAGAAGCATGCTTATCAGTAGGAAAACTACAAATAGTTGAAACAAATGTTTTAGAAACCTTATTCAGGCGGCTTGCTTTATACCCAATCTACGGGGAGCTACGAGCTGACTTAATAAAAAATCATATCTCCGTAATTTCTGAAACTGTTTATACTACACTCAAAAATTTATATTAACAAAAAAGTTGATCAAATTCTAGGATTGAATGCTGTCCTCCTATTTGAGAATAGCGCCGAAATGCCAAATAATATATTTCTCTCTTACGTAATTAGTAAAAATAAATCAAAATAATTATAATATTAATGCATGTTAATATGAAATAAATATTAAATTAACTCCATTCTAAATGAAACGATATCTAACAAACAAAGCAGCAATGTAGAGCTCAAAAATCCAAGGATACCCATACTTATTAGCGAAAATATTATTATACCCAAGCCCTTGAAATACCACACGGCCAAACAAGAAGTAAATGGAAAAGAAAATGTTAAAGAAATGAAAAATGTAAATGTTAAACAATAAAGTAGAAATCCACATGTCAACGATAGCCACTAAACACAGACGGTTTTCTCCAAAATTAACATTCCCTGATCGATTTGGCGCAACACCTTCGAATTTAAAAGTATATTTCATTTTGGGGATACATGACATGAAATCCTAACGACATTAATTTTTTTCTTAAATCTACATTTTTTCTTTCAAGTTTTTCCCCAAGATATAACAAATCACACTTATAGAAATGGCGCAGGTTCATTTTCATCAAATTCTCCAATTTTTTAAAAATTGCACAAACAAAAAATTGCAAAATAATTTTCGGCGTCTTCCTACAATTATAACATTGAAGAAGGAAATTCCCTTCCCCGATTCCCTCCAGCAACTAAACATTCTAAAGCTTACATTTTTTATTGAAATCTGTTCTTTGCAAACATGAATAGATTCGCGAAACTTCGAGTTAAAATGTTGAGGATTATAAGGCAATTAAATTGCGTGCTTTAAACAGAAGAATGGCGAGATCGCCATCATACAATATTTATTTCATATTAACATGCTTATATTATATATATATATTATACGGTCATCAACTTTGTTTCAGACTGAGCCGGAGAGATTTGTTACTAAATGTATACAAAATGTATCCCTTCCTTCCAGTACTGTTTCAGTGGCAAGGGCAACACCGTGGCCGCCTCTGCGTGTTATAAACATTTAAGAACTTTTTTAAAATATCAATATTTGTCCGGCAATTTGGACAATATCATTCGTTTTTGAAGTGATAGTTGCATTTAAGGTTCAATATAAAAAATAATACGTAACGGTTACCAATAATACGAGAAAGTATGCGTTGTTGTAGCACCATTCGTGTTTGACGTGCATTAATTCACTTGCACATATAATATGTATTTTGAATAATTTGTATGTAATATATCAACCTCAATAATGAAGGCTGCGTGCAATACACCGTAAATAATGTAATTTGATGTAGCAGTATAATATACTACTATAAACTACAAACAATAAAAAATAGTTTATTGAAATGTGGGAGCATCGTACCAATGTTGCTACTCTTTAGACAGTGCTTAAATCGAATTCTTCCCTACTTTTGTTGTGCCGTTTGCAGAACCTTTCGGAAATAATCGCAGGAATGTAATTCGTCCAATGCCAATAAAAGTATATAGGCTACAACAGTTCCACTGTGGCAGCCGAAAAATAAAAGGGCAAAGAACCGAAATTCATGATCCATTCATGAAATTCAGCGGGGAGTGGAATTATTAGTCTCCCCTCCCCCTGTTCACCCCAACAATTTCTCTGGTGGAGTGATGGAAGCTTGTCGCCGGTTGCGTGCCGAGTTCTTTCCACGGCCAGGCTGACGTGTTTAGTTACTGCTGCCCACATTCGCTTCGTTTCCACACGACATCGCCAGCAGGGCACCCGATGTTTCGGCAGAGTGTCTAACCAATCCAACAGTGCAAATAATGAGTGTTTTTCGAATCGAAATTATACAATTGAAGTACACATTTGCAATGCATT